AGAGCTAAATCGATCTCGATCATGACTCTGAGATGAACTGACACTTCGAGAAGCAGTGGGAGACATAGAATGCCTACCATATTTTATAGCTGAATCTTTACCATTTCTGGATGCTGGTGAGGAACCCCTCACATATGATGCTGGTCGATCTGTCAGAGAAGTTCGAAGATTGGGTGGTGCATCTAAAGAGAAACCAGGAATGTTTGACCGCCATGCACTGATTTTTGGTGAAGCAGAATTCCCACGACTTGTACGGATAGGAGAACTTCCCCTTACCCCAGTGGAAGCTGCCGTGCTTGAGCCTGTACTCGCCCTCCGGGGAGTTGGAGTCAGATATCCAGGAGCAGGCGTAGAAGGTTTATTTGGAGGAGGAGATGGCCTTCGCGTTGGTGTAGCAGCACGTACACTAGGGGTTGGACTAGACTGAGGGGCAGAAGAGGGCCTTCCCCTTGATTGAAATGTACCGCTAGTAGACCTGGGTGATGGGCTCAAGCGATTTGGACTGGCGCTGCCCCTGCTACTTCTGTAACTCTTCTCCATCTTCACATAAATGTAGAAGTAAATGTAACATACGACGAACAAAGAAATATAAACATTTCTATACGTATCTAATAGAAGGCACTTGCAGTTTCAGTTACATGTCCATAAAGATATCAGATAACCTACCGTTGATGATCTTGATATGGAAATGGGCTGACTCCTAGGTCTGCCCCTGCGTGCAGTAGTAACTGTTGGCGGTTCATCGTCCAGTGAAGGAAAAAGAGGGGTGTCGGGGGGAGTTAATAACCTTCAAATCAAGCACACATTTCATCAGAGCAAGAATATACAGTAGTTATGCATGAGATAACGAAGGTGTAGACCACGTAATTCAACAGTGACTACCATATTCGACCAAGTCAACTTGACTTTACCTAATTTACCGTTTCTAACGGTGCACTGACTAAGCTATAGGTCATACATTGACTTACAGTTATTTGATACAAGTTACTTTATCTTTTTCCTAAAATGCAATATATCATATCTATTTTTGTTGAATTGCTTTTTAAGCTAGATTCCTTGCGAAGAATCGTGAACTATGATCAAGATAAGAATGCAATATCTGACGACACATCCCATATGCATATTATGTTAGACCTTCCTGTTCAATTGAGGCTATGAACTATTGCTAATGAAGACAAAAATCTTGTGTAATACCAGAACAAGAAAAAAATTATGACCCACCAATCATAATCATTCTTTTCTCCATCTACGTTAAGCAGTTCGCTAGTCTCTCCTCGAACAGGAATGGAAATCCCAAGTTTGAAATCAGAAAAGTGCTTCAATTTTGTAGCTGCAAATGGGCATGCAAATCAAAGAAAAGAAATGTACCACAGTAAGCAAAAGGAGTCAGAGAAATGTAAGTTACACTAATTCACTGCAAAAACCTGAAGTATTGAATGGGATTAAGACACAGAATATTACAGAAAGTGTCTCAAAGTCATCAG